AAGTGGCGCAGATGAGGACGTAGACGCAGGGCGAACTCGACTTATGAGCTCTGAACTCGAGGGGGGACCGGATCTTGTATTTTTGGAGAGAAGTACGACAGATTTTATACTACACAGGACGCTACGACTATTCGAGAGTGGCATACGAGTACAAGGGGCTTTGCATTGTTCCTCAAGAACCTGCCTCACCGAGAGGCACATACCAAGTCCATCGGTAGAGTGACGTCATGCCGAACGCGGAGATGAAGAGCAACATATGGCCACTTCGGACCGGTAGCCGTCGTGAAGGCATGCCGCGAGGTTCGATACCTAATCGGGAAAGACCGGCTACTCCGGTGTGGCTTGGAGCGAAGCGCGCGCTTGGCCGAGTGGCGTCAAGTGGCCCTATTGTTCGCCGAATGCGGAAAATGTTCCGAGATCTACGCACGAGGCATCGGGAAGACCGGGCCGAGCTTCGAGTAAGCGTCGCGCACCGTCGAAGGTGTCGAAGAGCGTCAAAGGCGAAATCGAAGTGTTGGGAGACTGAGTCGAAGTGCCGGGCGGGATGCGAGTGCCAAAAAGAGGTGTATCGGGGCCCAGCGGGACTCGGCGCCTATCACCGGTGCTACAATCGTCCCCGACCCCTATGAAACCTATCTGAAGCACATCCCTCACGGCGAGCACCCCGCAGAATTCACCATCGCACGCGATTCGAATGCGATTCGTTCGATCATCGCGTTGGTCGACAACAAGGAGCAAATCGAATGCATCGTCGACCCCGGTTCGCAGATCGTCGCCATGTCGGAAGAGGTCTGTCTCGGCCTCAACCTCCTCTTCGATCCTACTATCCAGCTGAACATGCAATCGGCGAACGGCGAGGTGGACCGATCGCTGGGACTCATTCGAAATGTTCCCTTCCGCATCGGTGAGATCGTGTTGTATCTCCAGGCTCACGTCATTCGAAATGCAGCATACGACATCCTCCTCGGCCGACCCTTCGACGTGCTCACGCAGAGCGTCGTCAAGAACTTCGCCGACGAGAACCAGACCATTATGATCCTCTGTCCGAACACCGGCGAAACCGTCACAATTCCGACGTACGCGCGAGGAAGATCGCGAAGCCGGCAGCATCCTCTCGGGTGTCGCAAATCGCATTTTCTCGCTTCGAGGAATTGATTCCCCATGATCAAGGAGAAGCCGCGCTAGTCATTGACTACGATGGGGTAAACCCGAGTATTTCCTTCGTCTCTCCTATTGATTCTTCGATTCCGAACGCTGTTTCGTCACTGTACCTCTCCGCATGCACCTCCGTTTCTTCATATTTGCAGACTCTTTACGCCTCGGACAATACAGCTTCTAATGCCGCTCCGTCGAACGCTTCGACGTGGGCTTCGACTCTTCTGTTTTCAGCTCCATTCGCTTCGACTCCGCCAGCTCCCGTTCCGACGAAGTCCATTTCGCAGCTTTCCAACTCGATTCTTCCCTTTCCTTCGACGACATCGACTTCTACCCCCTCAACGCACAAGGTCCTCGCCGCGACGAAGAAGAAGTACAAGCCTGTCGCTCTCAAAACCCGACCCGTCCTTGGTGCCGTCCCCGAACAATTTCGTATACTTCGAGACATCAAGGGCGACCCTCTATCCATCATGCCTAAGCTTTCGACCGACCCCCCGCCATTCAAACCTACCGGTCAGTACACCCTCGAACGCTTCGAAGCAACCGAGAAGCTTCACGACGGCGACTTCCTACTTCCCGACGAACGTCGAGTCCTCCACCACTTCATGTGCCTGCACAACGAAGCTTTCGCATGGACCGACGACGAGCGCGGATGCTTCAAGCCCGAGTACTTCCCCCCCGTCGATTTTCCCGTGATTCCTCACACGCCCTGGGTGCAGAAGAATATCCCCATTCCGCCCGGGATCTACAACGAAGTCTGCGCGGTGATCAAGCGAAAGATCGCCGCCGGAGTCTACGAACCGTCGAACTCGTCGTATCGATCGCGGTGGTTCTGTGTCGTCAAGAAGGACGGTAAATCTCTTCGACTCGTCCATTCCCTCGAGCCCCTCAATGCAGTCACGATCCAACATTCCGGTGTACCGCCGACGCCTGAATATCTTGCAGAACAATTCGGAGGAAGACCATGCGGCGGCATGCTCGACCTCTACGTCGGCTACGACGAACGACTCATCGCCGAGTCTTCGAGAGATCTAACGACGTTCCAGACACCCTACGGAGCCATGCGCCTAGTGACCCTCCCGATGGGTTGGACGAACTCGGTCCCGATCTTCCACGACGACGTCACCTACATCCTCCAGCCCGAGATCCCGCACGTTACGGTGCCCTACGTCGACGATGTTCCCGTCAAGGGTCCCGAATCCGACTACGACGACGAGCGGCTCCCTTCGAACCCCGGCATTCGACGCTTCGTATGGGAGCATTTCGAGAACATGAACCGCGTCGTCACTCGAATGCGCTACGCCGGAGGTACCTTTTCAGGAGTAAAAAGCGTCCTCATCGCTCGAGAATTCATGGTGATCGGACATCACTGCACTCCTCAAGGACGCCTCCCCGACGACTCTCGCGTCGCTTCGATACGCAACTGGGGTCCCTGCGCTACTCTATCCGACGTTCGAGTGTTCCTCGGAACCATCGGCGTCGTTCGTATCTTCATCCGTAATTTCGCTCACCGCGCCGACGCGCTCGTACGCCTCACGAGGAAGGACGTCGAGTTCGAGTTCGGTCCGGAGCAAATCGCGGCGCAGGAAGACCTCAAGGACGCGCTACTCTCATCCCCCGCACTCCGAGCCATCCATTATGATTCCCCCTCTCCCGTCATTCTCGCAGTCGACACGTCGTTCATCGCCGTCGGATATCACCTCTGCCAGTGCGACGAAGCCAACACGCGAGTCCGTTACTACAGCAGGTTCGGCTCGATCACACTCAATGATCGCGAACGAAGGTTTTCGCAGCCGAAGCTCGAAATTTACGGCCTATTCCGCGCACTACGATCCCTTCGACTCTACCTGATCGGCGTTCGAAACCTCATCGTCGAAGTCGATGCTCGGTACATCAAGGGTATGCTGAAGAATCCGGACATAGCCCCGAGCGCGAGCATTAACCGGTGGATTGTCTCGATCCTCACGTTCCATTTCACGCTAGTCCACGTCCCCGGTACAATGCACGGCCCCGACGGTCTCTCTCGATGCACAGCTCAACCCGGTGATGTCATCGAAGACGAGGTCGACGAGGAGTTCGATGATTGGATCGACCAGATGCATTCTTTTGTTCACCAGATCCAGCCCCTCCCGCCTGTACCTACGCTTGCCATCTTCACCAACGACAGAGCCGAGGACGGCTCAGATTTCAATAGGGAGGAGGATAGCTACGAGCTAGTGCCTCGATCGGAGCAAGCGCAACTCGCCGACGCGAAGCTCGACGATGTGCTCGAATTTCATCGAACGTTAGCGAAGCCCCACGGCATCTCCGAAAGCGTTTACGAAGGATTCATCAAGTACTGCATGCAATTCTTCCTCGACAACGACACCCTCTGGCGCAAGGACAGTCACGGAGCACACAAGTTAGTCGTCAAGCCCAGCGATCGCCTTCGAATACTTCGAGAATGCCACGACCGCACCGCGCATCGAGGAATCTACGCAACCCGAGCCTTCGTCAATGAGCGATTCTGGTGGCCGTTCCACTACGCCGACATCGCTTGGTTCGTTCGATCGTGCCATATCTGCCAGTCTCGACAAGTGCGTCAAATCCTCATTCCTCCGACCGTCGCAGTACCAGCCCCCATCTTCGCCAAAATTCACATAGACACAATGCACATGCCTGCCTCGGGCGGATACAAGTACTTGGTCCAAGGTAGATGCTCGCTCACGACTTACCCCGAGTTTCGAATGCTTCGAAAAGAGACAGCAAAGGCCCTCGCTGACTGGATCTTCGAAGACATCCTCTGTCGATGGGGCGCGCTCAGCGAGATCGTCACCGACAACGGTACGGCGTTCATCAAGGCGGCCGATTACCTTTCGAGGAAGTACCACATCAACCATATTCAAATCAGTGGGTACAATTCGAGCGCGAACGGTCTCGTCGAACGTCCGCACTTCAGCACGCGACAAGCCTTGTTTAAGACAGCCGATGGAGATGAGAAGAAATGGTCCCAAGCTGCGTATTTTGTATTTTGGTCCGAGCGCATCACAACTCGACGACGCATGGGCTGCTCACCCTATTTCGCTGTTACGGGCACCCATCCGCTCATTCCTCTCGACATCGTCGAAGCTACGTATCTGCAACCACCACCGACTTCGGTCCTTTCGACGACCGATCTCATCGCCCGTAGGGCCATTGCGCTTCAGAAACGCGTCGAGCAAGTCACCGAACTCCACTCGAAGGTCTATGAAGCACGTCGAACTGCAGCAATTCGCTTCGAGAAAGAGCACGAGCATTCAATCCAGGATTTCGACTTCAAGCGCGGAGCCCTAGTGCTCATACGCAACACGAAGATCGAGAAGTCCCTCAACCGCAAGATGCGCCCGCAATATCTAGGCCCCCTCATCGTTGTCTCGCGCAACAAGGGCGGCGCATACATCGTGTGCGAACTCGACGGTACAGTCCTCGATCGACCCATCGCAGCATTCCGCGTCATTCCGTATTTCGCGCGCAAATCCATTCCAATTCCCGAAGATCTCGAAGATGTCTCGACCGAGCATCTTCGAGAACTCGAACTATCGAATTCTCTAGGCGACGACGATGATGATGAAGTCGAAGAAGCCGAAGAACGCGACGAATAGAGGTTCTTCCCTTGTATTACTTGTACAACACGATACGTACTTTCTTCTCTCAGTTCCTGCTCTCACGTTACGTTATATGCTCGATTTTCTCCTACGTTCTAGACCATCCCTTGTACGAATATCTTCGATTCAACTCGAGTCGCGACATCATTCGACGTTCTACGAATGCTTTGATTTGACTGTTGCGCAGAGGCTCACCTTAGACGAAGTCCTCCTAGGCTGTGATGACAAACTGAGCCTATATTTTTATTAAGTTCATTTTCCCTCGCTACGAACATTTCTATTTCACTTTCTATGTCCTTTGATCATATTACGACTTGCGTCGAACACGCTTATTTTCATTTCCTTTTCTTAGTTCCCGCTAGGTTTCGTCTAGGCCAAAGGCCACATTTTCGATTCGACCATCTACGCAATATTATACGACATAATTACAACTACGATACAAAATGACTTGCGCCATCGCCTACTCATCGTCGACAGCCCCGCGCACGAACCCGATTCCTCCCTTCGCAAGCGCGGCCTTCTCCATCTTTTGGAGGTCGAGGTCCATGTCGTGGAGGAGCGCTCGACGGCGAGCGATGAGAGCGCGCTCCTCGCAGATGACGCGAATGATCCCCCGAGACTCGTCGTCGAGGTCGAGCGCATCGAGGTCGTCCTGTTCCAGGCCAAGGCGGCCGGCCCCATCGAGAGGCAGTCGTAGCAGGGGGCGCGGAGGCTCGTCGACTCGACGCTTCTTCGAACCACTCAAGTCCGCGACCGAAGGCACGGGAGAGGTCGGCCGAACTACTAAGACGTCAGCCAAAGATTAGGACAACCAGAAGAAACAACTTACTGCGCTTTTTTGTGGTTGATCCCCCGCCGCGCGTTTTCTTTGTCTTGCCAAGCACAGACACCTTGTCGAAGTAGCAGCCCTGTTGGAACTGTGCGCACCTCTCGCAGGTCGTGGCGTTCTCGACCCACACGCACTCGACCGGGGCCGAGCGGTAGCCGGCGCAACGATCACACTATTGAAGAGTTAGCATCGAACAGCTTCAATGAAGAGTCGAGCTTACCTTCTGTCCGGCCTGACGCTTCCCAAGCGCAACGGCGGCCATGTCGACCTCCGTCATCGCGAACAGATGTTCGAGCGTTCGCGGAGTCTTCTACGAAAGCGAGATTAGTGATCGAATGACGACAGAGAAAAGAAGACTTACGACCGAGGGGTCATCCGACAACTCGGTGACCTCGTCGTCGACCCTCGCACGCCCTTTCCCCTTGTCGAGAAGTCCCTCGGCGGCCGCGATCCTCGCCAACTCCTCGTCAGCAGCCTCTTGTGCGCGACGCTCGTCTTCAGCAGCCTGCTTCCGATGGTCCTCTTCGTCCTTTCGACGCCGTTCGTCTTCAAGGCGACGGTCCTCAGCGGCCTTCGCACGCTTCGCGGCCTCTTCGATGCGTCGTGCTTCCTCTTCGGCAAGGCGCTTCTGCTCTTCGACGCGTTGTTCGACCTCGGCATCGATGGCGGTCGCGAGCTCGGGCCAGTCCCCGTGCGCCCACTCGACCCACGATTCCGATGCCCGCTCGGCGAGCTGTTTGACGGCGGCGGCAACGCGCAGCTCCGTCTCCTCGTCGCGGATGGCGCCCAAGGCCTTGCGATAGGCGAGCTGTTCGAAAACAAAGGGTTAGTTGGGTTATGCAGATTTACGAGCGACTTACCACGAGCGGCGACAAGTCTTGCGCCCACTCTTCGACTACATCGAACGCGGTGTCGGCGGTCGGCGGAGCCTCGAGGACCACGAGCAGAGAGGAGAGACGGCGGTTGACGAGCGAAGGCGTCGACACAGGGGTGGCAGAGCGAGAAGACATCGTAGGAGCAGGAAGCGTGCGAAGAAGGACGACGAGGTAGCGACGAAGGAACGATGGGATGGGGAAAATGAGGCTAAGTCTACCCTGCTTATAACCCCTTTCCGACCAGCGTTTGGCGCCGGCCACGTGGCGTTCGAGACCGACACGGGTTGTCAAGCCGCTTCGATCCGTTCACGACCATCGCGCTTCTCGCATCACGTGGAGGACCGAGGACGGTCCAAATTTCAATAGGGAGGAGATGATAGGCGCCAGGCCCCTCTGGGCCCCGATTCACCTCTTTTCGGCAGTCGCATCCCGCCCGTCACTTCGACTCAGTCTTCCAACACTTCGATTTCGCCTTCGACGCTCTTCGACATCTTCGACGGTGCGCGACGCTTACTCGAAGCTCGGCACGGTCGTCCCGATGCCTCGCGTGTAGATCCCGGGACATCTTCCGCATTCGGCGAACAATAGGGCCACTTGACGCCGCTCGTCCAAGCGCGTGCATCGCTCCATGCCACACCGACGTAGCCGGTCTTTCCCGATTAGGTATCGAACCTCGCAGCATGCCTTCAACGACGGACACCGGTCCGAAGTGTCCATGTGTTTCTCTTCATCTCCGCGTTCGGCATGACGTCACTCTACCGATGGACTTGACGCGTGCCACTCGGTGAGGCAGCTTCTTGAGGAACAATGCAAAGCCCCTTGTACCAGTGTGCCACTTTCGATAGTCGTAGCGTCCTGTGTAGTATAAAATCTGTCGTACTTCTCTCTAAAAATGGAAGATCCGGTTCCCCCCTCGAGTTCAGAGCTCATAAGTCGAGTTCGCCCTGCGTCTAAACCCCCAACTGCGTCACTTCGTCCCTCGCTGCGTAACCTCGAAACCTCGTCCACTGCGTTACTCGTCGATACCGTCTCGATGAACCCTTCGACTTCGACTATTGTCGAAGAAACTGCGAACCGCGCCCTAGCTAAGTCCACCCTATCGAATTGTATCCCTTCCTTCTACGAGACATCGAAGAGCTCTGCCGAGCTTCGATCGTCTCCGCTAACTACCCACAGCCTCCGAGTAGCTTCGACGACGTGTCGAGTCACCTCGTACCTTCCCTAGCGTTCGTAGCCTCTTTCCAAGGGCGTTTCTCGTGTTCACTCGAACTGCGGGACACCTTGCTGCTAACTCCCCTCTCACTAGACTATAATCCGTCTCTCTAGTCCCTTTAGGTCGCACCCAGGTTAGGGGTTAGGGTTACGTAGGTCGCATCACCGATCATAAGAACCTCGAGTACTGGTGCACGTCCCAGCATCTCACGTGTCGTCAAGCGCAATGGTCGCTGTTCCTAGCTCGCTTTGACTTCCGCATCACGCACAAGGCCGGAACGTCGAATGGAAAAGCTGATGCCCTGTCACGTCGATCAGACCATCAGATCGGCGATGAGGACGATAACACCAATCAGGTGGTTCTCAAACCGGAAAGATTCCGCATTGCCTCTGCTAGACGCGGTCATGCCTCCGTGACAGCTGATCAGTCGCTTCTGAAGCGCATTAGGGAGTGTTTGGAGAAAGATCGGGAGGTGGCCGAGGCACTTGAAAAAGTACAGGACCTCGGGCCGCCCCAGCTACAAAGGGGCTTTGAGGAGTGGAATGCCGAACAAGGGCTTCTGCTGTTCCGTGGGTGCGTATACATCCCAAAGAATGCGGAGCTCCGGCGGAATATAGTCAAGATCCACCACAACTCGCTGATCGCCGGACATGGCGGTCGCGCCAAAACCCTCAAGCTCGTGTCACGGAACTACTGGTGGCCAGGAATGTCTAAATTTGTCAACGAGTACGTAAGCACCTGCAACATGTGCAACCGTACCAAGACATTCCCTGCCAAGCCCCAGGGTCCGCTGAAGCCGAACGAGATCCCCGAACGCCCGTGGCAGATCATCACGACCGATATGATCGTCGGCTTGCCGAGGTCTGACGGATTCGACTCGATCCTGGTCACCGCCGACCGCTTTACAAAGCAGGTCCACTTTTCGGCCTGTCATGAGACCCTGACGGCAGAAGGTGCGGCAGACCTGTACATCTGCGATGTGTTCAAGCATCATGGGGCCCCGGCCAAGGTCATATCAGACCGAGGTCCCCAGTTCGCTTCGAAATATCTCCATGCGGTGTACAAGGGACTAGGGATCGAGCTGGCGCTATCTACAGTGTTCCATCCTCAGACAGACGGCCAGACTGAGCGCTGGAATCAGGAGATCGAGCAGTACCTGCGTGCCTTCACAAGCCACAGGCAGGATGATTGGGCGAAGCAGTTGCCGCTCGCGGAGTTTGCACTGAACAACCGAGTTCACTCCGCGACCGGGCACTCCCCTTTCTTCCTGCATCAAGGGTACAATCCTGAGATCCAGGTTCGGATCAATCCGATGTCCGCGATGCCCACTGCCGCCGATCGGCTTAAGATCCTGAAGGAGATTCGCGATGACGCACGCTCTGCGCTTGAGCTATCAGCCGAGCGTATGAAAGTGTACTATGACAAGCACGTGCAGGAGGCACCGGTCTTTGCGCCAGGGGACAAGGTCTGGCTTGATGCCCGGAACCTTAAGCTGAAACAGCCGAGCAAGAAGCTCAGTCCCAAGTGCCTTGGACCATATGCAGTGCAGCGAAAACTCAGAGACTTGGATTACGAATTGGTTCTGCCGAAGTCGGTGCCGGTGCACCTGGTGTTCCATGTCTCCTTGCTTAGCAAGTTCACGCGTAGCGATATCCCGGGCCGGGAGCCGGAGGAGCCGCCTGCGATCGAGGTTGAAGGCGACGAGGAGTACGAGGTTGAGCGGATCAAAGATTCGAGGATCTTCCGGCGTCAGCTGCAGTACCTCGTCAAGTGGAAGGGTTATGACGATTTGCATACGTCATGGGAACCAGCGCGCAATGTTGCCAATGCGCCGGCCCTAATAGCCAACTTCCACCGGAAGAACCCGAACACCCCTCGCCACCTCAACGCTACTGTCTTTGGTGGTCTCAACTTTCAGCCAATGCCTTCGCCACTGACTGAAGCACGCTGCCGCTCCGGGTGGGAGATGGGCAAGGGCGCCTCGCATGAGGTCATGCACCGTTGAGGGGGGGGTAATGTCACGAGTTGGTACGGCGTCTAGCCGTTTTTTTTTCCTTTTCACGGGCTCGAACCCGCGACCTCTGTACTACATGCCCGATATGGACGTGTCGTTATCTACTGTACGATTAGATTAGATGGGCGGCAGTGCGCGGCACAGCTCGGGCTCCGCTGACACAGCCGCTCTGACTCACCGGCCCCCGGGGCCATGTCAGCATGCTGCGCACGGACCAGCTGCGCACGGACCAACGTGCACAGCCTGCCCTTATCTTCCCCTGTATATAAGCCGGCCTCTGCTGCCCTAGGGACCTCAGTTTCGACCTCTTGTCCCTAGGTCAGTAAGCCCCTCCTGTATTCTTTCTTACCTTGACTAATATATTCACTTGTCCCTAGCCTTAGGTTTGAGCATCGCTCACCATCGCTTCGGTGAGATCAGTTGAACGCCCCCAGCTCTCCGACTCTCCCCTGTCGCTTGACCCCAAGTCGCGACAAGCAGTCTGTTCAAAACGCACGAAGGGATCATCGATGAGCTCCTCAGCACCCCAGCTGAGCAGATGCAAAAGTATGGGGAGATCAATGGACTTGCTGAGCATATAAGCGAGCACATCCTTGATCTGAGCAGAGGTGTCACCTTGTTCCTCGAGGTACCGCCAGAACTTCAGTGTACGTAGCCTATGTGGTGACAAGCAAGTACTGCCAGTAGTCTTTGGTTGCGTAGAAACATCTTCTTGACTGTTGTCTGGAAAAAGCGAGCTGAAGCTTGTTTCAGTACTACCCAGAAGCCCCGAGTGGTTGTCAAAGCTATCGCTGCCCAAGTCCGAAGCCGGCGGGGAGTCCAGGTCGGAGTCAGAATTGTCAACGACACTGCGTAGCGAGCTCAGCCAAGGGCTCAGATGAGTAGTTGGAATAGACGACATTATGATTATGTAGGTTGTCTACCATAGCATACATGCGCATACATTGGCTAGCGACTGAGTTTCGAAGTGCGCGGCGCAAGATGCAAGGCGCGTCGGACGCAGTCACATACGCGAGCAGACGCAAGAGGTAACAGCGTCGTCACCAGTGACTTTGGTGACGCGTGATGGATACCCCCCCTCCCTGCAAAATTCACCAGACCTTATAGGCGAGAGTGTGCAGGGGTTTTTAGATCTCTGCCACCCAATGGGGTAACAGCACACGTGATCCGCCTATAAGGTCTGGAAACGAGACTAATGTGATTGATGCATCCATGTGTTGAAACGCGCAGACCTGCGCGGTCAGGAACGAGCTCGAAAGCTCGGGCGCGCGAGTAGCCGGGGGCCAGAGGCCCCTATCATGATATATAACGACCCCGCGCATTGTACGTACCGCACGCGATTGTCCCTTACGGGCATCGCTACGCCCGTGGACAAACGCGCCCCCGCGCCGTTCGCACCCTTGCTCCAACACCATGTGGGGAGCCTTCCAACTTTACGACTACCATTCTGTGCCACGAACATGATGGTAGACAACACAGGTATGTGATATAGTCCTCGGAGGGACGATACGGGAGTATAAGCAGACATATCACCATCTCAGGACGGCTTTTCACAGGCCATCGTTGTCGTTACGAAACTTGAAGTATGGATAAGCCGTGATATGCTGCTTGGCATTCCTACCGATGTAGGTAAATACTCACTATATAAACCAGATATGCCGTGTTCAGATAGTAGTCTCTGGGCATCACACAAGGATTCCTCACAGAAATGTTCCCTCAAGGTACAAACTGTTACGACTTTTAACATTGACGGGCAAAAATCATTTCAAGGCACATTAGATTCAAGCAAATCAGGTGAGATGTTCCGCAAAGCATCAACACTCCTCACGCCGCGCCATGCGCGGCGTACTCGCGCTTCCGCTGGTGGCCATGTCAGTCATGTTATGCATTACTCTGGTATTTGTAAACCGACCTCGCGCTCTACAGTTCAACTACCGCCGCCACGACACGTCTTGATGTGACGCCGAAGGGCATCGCTCCGGGACACACTACGGCCACAGCGGTCGCACTCCCGCGCGGTGCACTTCAAATGGACGGCGGCGACGTGTTTTCCGAGGTTCCTGCTGACCACCTGCTTGCCGCACAGAGTGCCATCTCTCATGACCCAGCAACACTCGGCGGACTGGCCCGCCGGCAACGGGTTCGCCCCCACATCAAGATGGTACCATCTGAGGTGCTGCATAACGCGGCCAGGCGACAGCGCCGATATGGTGTGGCCGCATGACTGCCAGGAGCATATTCCGCCACGCAGGACGCTGGTCGTAGTAGGCTCTGTGTGCGTAAGCAAGTCCGAGTGGTAGAGACCAGGACCTGTATACAACACGCTACCATTAGACGACGGTGCGGGCACTGTACCAGCAAAGGCATAGGCAGGATCGTTGCCAAGGCTATGTTCAATTGTTCAGTAACACAGTGCAGTAAAGAACATCCAAACGACGTACAACAGCGCCAGTTGAACCTGAGGATCGGCCTCAGTCGGCATGATGAAGTTGAATAGTTGATTCGTTATTTCTGAGCTGTGCTCAGAGAAGATTGGCGATACAGGGGCGATAGTAGTATAGTAGCAGCCCACCTGGTACCTCGGCTACCGGCAGGCCATGCAGGTGTAGAATGAAAGTACCCCGCGGGTTGAATATCATCGCGAGTAATATCCGTACGGTCGGCGATATGAAGCGTAGCATGGGGTGGCATTTTGGTCTGTTGGGGGGGTAGTGCAAGCAGTAGCTCAAGGACCCGGATAAGCCTGTCGGTTGCAGGCGACATTATATACCGTTCTGTCTGACGTCTCAATGTCTCAGCGTGTGTGTATGCGGATGTATTTGACCCAATTGTCAACCTTACGTTGGCCCCTGCAACACATGTTGCTAGCGGATCGAATATCGAGCGCTCAGAACACCGAGACCACATCTTGCTTCTTAGAGGGTCTTATGACCCGAGAGAGATGGTTCTCATCGTAGCGGATCAGGTGTTGAGCGCTCCGCGTATTTATGCACGAGCGCATGCCTTCGTCGGGTAGGAATACTGAGGTTCATGTCGCATGAAATAGTGAACCTCAGAGCCTTGAGATCATCGGTACCAGTGCGCGGAGTACTCAATCAGTATCTGATCAGTGAAACGCTACGATGAGAACTACCTTCATAGGACCCTAGGCACAATACCTTCCTAATACCCGAGAAGCAATACCTTCCTAATACCCGAGAAGCAATACCTTCATAGGACCCGAGAAGCAAGTGTTGGCCTCGAGGTTCGGAGCGCTCGGCGTGATTCGCTGACAGCAGGTGTTGCAGAACCGCAGTAGTGAGCGCTAGACAGCGTGTCGGAGGATGGTTTTGGTACTTTTGTACCCAGGCCACCTCGTGCATTGTAAATGGACACTCAGCACGCAGGGATAACAAGCAAGGCAGTGGTAAGAGTACACACTTTCCCCGCATCATTTCCGCTCACAGTGTGCCCTGTGATCTTAGCACGGGCGGGACCCTGTAGATTGAAAAACTTGCGCTTCCTGCGCTTATTCCTCGATTGCCCCGAGAATCGAGTATTTCTTCTGTTGTACACTTCTTCCACTGTTTGAATAGAGAGAACGAATAATAGTAGGATGTGGTCGACAGTGTTCTAGTGAACTGGGAAGCGAACATATGGAGTAACCCAGCAGCCGTATATCATAGCAGGCTCTGAGGAGTCGGAGTTGTAGAGAAGTGGTAGATCTCTCTACGGGTACGCCAATCACATCATGAGAGACGCACAAGTTCTTTCACCGATGCTCTTAACAATCGCACTCATCGCGAGCCAAGTCAACAATGCCGCACCCCATCAGTACCTTAGTTATCGTCAGTTACATGGAAGGTGCTTACGCAAAGCATAGCCAATTGAGGCACGGCTATATCAAGAGACTGCAAGTCGCGTGTCGTCTGACTTCAACTTGTGTTCTACACTTCTCCAGGACTATTAGCACCTAACATGGACGTCGAGGCCCTACGTAAGCTCACCCTCAGATTCAGGAATCGCCACTTCCGTGGCGATTCTGACAAGGAGACGTGACCACTGCTGACATCCATCAATGTGCCGTGTTCAAGCGGTGCAGTGTAAGCGTGTAAAAGCCAAGACGGAAGCAAGCATCATCATAGCCAAGCTGTTGAAGGAGTATTCCGCAAGGCGTGCCATCGTAGACATCCCTGCTCGAGGAGTTCGAGCGTCCTGATGATCGACGGGATGCGAGAATGCAGGGTGGATGCCATAGAGACGACCGTCTGTAGGTCCGACTGTGAAAGACAAAAGCAAGAAAACGTCGACGTCAATCATAGCGTCCGAGACGGTGGGTAGCACCTCACTCCTTCGTAGACACCGAAGTATGCGATAAGGGCCAAGATGAACGCATATCGCAGGAGACCTCAGCCGCCAACACTGTGTATGCACAGCCCAGAACGAAAGGGAAGAGGGCTGTCTGGAAATGGTCAGGGAGTACACACATCCAGTCCACAATCGCCATACGCAGCAATATTTGACGAAGGCAGACAGGAAGGAACATTTCACCGAGACAATTGACCGGCTTCAGCTGGTGCTTTAAGCCAGGACCTCCAGCCAAAAGTTCGACTAGGAACGAAGGGCATTCCCGCATGCCTGACGCTACTAGACGAGACAGCGCCGCATAGACCGATGTGCAGTGACCTCGTTCGTGAGCTCGAGGACAGTATAGAGAATATCATCTGTGCGTGTGTCTTAGAACGATCGGAATGAGCATGGGACAGCGGAGACGTACTGAGCACCACAACGTGCCGCGGTCCTCCTCCCGCCTTGTAGGCGACAACGCCGGTTGGAACCCACACGCCGCTGGCGTCTTCAACGAAGCGACGCGTCTCGTCCGCACCGAGATCGGGGATGAGCAGCTCAGCGCGGGTGGGTGGCAGGAAGACCTGATGCAGGTACCACGCCTCCTGGCGCTCCTTGTTCGGGCCCGTGCCGGTGAACTTGAGCGTCAGGCTCTGGGGCACCTGCAGGTGCGGCGGCTCGGGGATGGCTCGGGCGTCAGGTGAGTAGTCGTGAATGTCCCGGAGGAGTACTGGAACGGGGATTGAGACAGAGTAACATAAAGCGTAGCTGTGAGCTCACATTCCCTACGAGCAGCTCGGTGCCTGCTGCGAGCAAGGTACACGGGTCCGCGGCGCCACCGCCAGAGACTTTTCGCCTACCACACCGCCCTTGCCTTCTTCGTCATG